AACATTTTTGTCTGCCATTCCATTAAAGTTGGGATTTCTTAGGATTTCCATTTCTGAGCCACTAAGATTCTAGTGGCGGTCGTTGCGCACTTGAATAGTTTGTAATCTTCCTTTTTTAATTCATCCCCCGTTATCCCTGGCAAAAATGCTTCCAGGAGGATCTCAATTTCCGGCACCAACATTTGGGATCTGTGTAAGAACACAGAGCTTGCACTTTGCCTCTCTCGTATCTGCTTTTGCGCCTATGTGCTTTCTATAGCCGGATGGGTCGCTATCTTCATTCGGAGAAAAGCTGCAGGTGATTGGGAAAGCATCTTATGCTGTGTGGGCGGGAGGACAAGGTCCCTCTGCTGCAATTCTGCTGACCTTTCAGTGTGCAAACCACTTCCCTTTTTGCTGAGAGACAAGCGGGAGGGAGGGAAGAGGGAGAGCAGTGTGGCTTGGAACAAGCAGGCAAGGTCACTCTCGTACTGCGGGGCAGGATCTCGCTGAACCAAAACAGCTGTTGATCTGACACAGGAGGAAGTTGGCGTGTGCAATCTGGCCAAGGTTAGAGGGGGATGGGGAGGAGAATCCTTTTTAGATTGCTTACCTCATGAAAACATAGGACGAGCCCTACAGCGGGATCAGGCCAAATGCTTGTCTTGTTCTCATAGTGGCCAGCTGGATGCCTCTGGGGAGCCCACAAGCAGGGCCTGAGTGCAACAGCCGTGCTCCCCAGTCTTGTGATTCCAGGCAAATAGCATTCAGAGGCATACCACCTCCCGTAAAGGTAAAGGGACCCCTGACAGTTAAGTCCAGTCGCAGACGACTCTGGGGTTGCGGCGTTCATCTCGCTTTCAGGCCGAGGGAGCTGGCGTTTGTCCACAGACAGCTTTCTGGGTGATGTGGCCAGCATGACTAAACAGCTTCTGGTGCAATGGGACACCGTGATGGAAACTAGAGAGCACAGAAACACCGTTTACCTTCCCACCAGAGCGGTACCTATTTATCTATTTGCACTGGTGTGCTTTCGAACTGCTAGGTTGGCAGGAGCTGGGACAGAGCAACAGGAGCTCACCCCATCACGGGGATTCGAACTGCCGACCTTCTGATCGTCAAGCCCAAGAGGCTCGGTGGTTTAGACCACAGCGCCACCCACATCCTGACATACCAACTTATAACACCATAAAAAGGTAAAGGGACCCCTGACAGTTAAGTCCAGTTGTGAACGACTCTGGGGTTGTGGCGTTTGTCCACTCCACAGACAGGTTTTCCGGGTCATGTGGCCAGCATGACTAAGCTGCTTCTGGTGAAACGCCGTTTACCTTCCCGCCACAGCGGTACCTATTTATCTATTTACACCATTTGGGGTGCTTTTGAACTGCTAGGTTGGCAGGAGCTGGGACTGAGCAACGGGAGCTCACCCCGTCGCGGGGATTCGAACCGCCGACCTTCCGAACGGCAGGCCCTAGGCTCAGTGGTTTAGACCACAGAGCCACTTGCGTCCCACACCACCTCCCATACTGGAGGAAATAAGTGGTCACTGTGAGCAGCAGCCACTGATGTTTTGATCCTCCATGAATTTGTCTAACCACCACAAGTGTCAGAAATCAGACCCAGGCTGAAATCATCACATGTCAGCCACTGATGGCAGGAGCTACTACAGATGGATCCTCCTCATGACTCGAACGATGAAAAGACATGATGAAAAACCATTTCATCAAAATGTTTAAATAAACATCCATAATCCCAGCAGAGACATCACCTTGCCAACAAAGGTCCGTATAGTTAAAGCTATGCTTTTCCCAATAGTGATATATGGAAGTGAGAGCTGGACCATAAAGAAGGCTGATCGCCGTAGAATTGATGCTTTTGTATTATGGTGCTGGAGGAGACTCTTGAGAGTCCCATGGACTGCAAGAAGATCAAACCTCTCCATTCTGAAGGAAATCAGCCCTGAGTGCTCACTGGAAGGACAGATCCTGAAGCTGAGGCTCCAATACTTTCGGCAAAGTCTATCATCTTGTTTGTCTATTCTTCCTTTGTTGGTACACCATCTTCTTTCCACTTTGGGGCAAATAACAATCTAGCGTACATAAATAGTCTCTTTACATTCTTTGGTATTTCTTCCCCCATTATTCCAAGCAAAAAGGCTTCTGGTTTTTTATGAAAAGTTATCTTAAACATTTTTTTTTATTCATTATCTATCATTTCCCATAAGTCTTTTGCCTTTTTGCAAATCCACCACATGTGAAAAAAGTGCCTTCATTATCTTTACATTTACAACATATTTTGGAGGAATTTTATACATCTTTGCCATCTTTACTGGAGTTAAATACCAGCGATACATCATTTGCATATAATATTCTTTCAATGTACTACACGTCGTAAATTTCAAATCCTCTTTCCACAGCTTTCCCCATGACTCAAGTGGGATATTATATCCCAAATCCTTTGCCCATTTTATCATTACATCTTTAACTTCCTCATCTTTCGTCTCCCGTTCCAATAGTAGTTTATACATTTTTGATAATAATTCTTCATTATTCTCCAACAGTTCTTTTTCATACTTTGAGAATTCCTTCCCAAAGCCTTTTTCTTTATCACTTCTGAATTTGTTATTTAGTTGGTGGTATTGTGACCAATCTGTTAACAAGTGGTTTATTTCTCCATACTCTTTTACCTTCAATTTATTTTCCACCTCTGTTAACAGATCTTTGTACATAGGCCAATTCTCTTTCTTTCTTTCTTTCTTTCTTTTTTTGCGAACGTATTGCCAAGAATGCTATTTTTGTTTGAATCAATACCCGTAATCAGAGGAGCAGAACACTTCAAACAATAGAAAAAATATATTTTTAAATTTGTCTGGTAGGGGGGAAAGCCCAGAATAAAATATAAATTATTAATGGATAAAAAAACAAAGAGGGGGGTTCTCACTGCAGGACCTGAAATTATATTATGAAGCATCTTGCCTTTGCTAGATGCGGGAATGGGTACAATTAAAGAATACGGATATACTGGATTTAGGAGGACATGATAACATATATGGTTGGCATGCTTATCCATGGTAAAAAATGTAAAGGTACCCCTGCCCGTACGGGCCAGTCTTGACAGACTCTAGGGTTGTGCGCCCATCTCACTCAAGAGGCCAGGGGCCAGCGCTGTCCGCAGACACTTCCGGGTCACGTGGCCAGCGTGACATTGCTGCTCTGGCGAGCCAGAACCGCACACGGAAACGCCGTTTACCTTCCCGCTAGTAAGCGGTCCCTATTTATCTACTTGCACCCGGGAGTGCTTTCGAACTGCTAGGTTGGCAGGCGCTGGGACGGAACAACGGGAGCGCACCCTGCCGCGGGGATTCGAACCGCCGACCTTTCGATCGGCAAGCCCTAGGCGCTGCGGCTTTTACCCACAGCGCCACCCGCGTCCCTTATCCATGGTATGAAAAAGTAAAAATACACAAGGGATTCCTGAACCCCATTGTAAGAAAATCAATTTTTATCACTGAGATCCTTCCCCACATTGTTAAATTCATCCTTCCCCATATCTCCATAGCTCTTTTAATTCCATTCCACACTTTTATATAATTATCTTTAAAAATATTTATGTTTCTATTTGTTAACCATATACCTAGATATTTTACTTTCTTTACTACCACTAAATCCGTTTTTTGCTTAACTTCATTTTCCATTTATTCTGACGTATTCTTCAATAACGCCTTTGTTTTATTTTTATTAAGCTTGAAACCTGCTACTTGTCCAACTTTATCTATCTTTTTTACCCTTGGTATATTTTCCAAGGGTTCTTCCACAGTTATAACCAGGTCGTCCGCAAATGCTTTTAACTTATATGCTTTACTCCCTAATGTAATTCCTCTTATGCTTTCATCCAGTCATATTCCTTGTCAATGTTTCTAATACTAAAATAAACAATAATGGAGACAGAGGGCATCCCTGTCTTGTTCCCTTAGTTATTATACATTTTTCAGTTAATACATTGTTTACTGTTAAGTTCACCTGTTGTTCAGAATAAATTTCACTTATGCTTTTCATAAATGTCCCCTTCCAATGTACAACAAAAACCCATCCATCCAAACAGCACCAATGAAAATAAGAGGCACTGGGTAACATTTATCTTAAAAAGTGTGTCTTCAAGAGCTGGCGGGATGCCAATGCTGATGGGAGTCTTTCGTATTTCAGCAGGAGAACATTCCACAACACAGGTGGCACCGGTGGAAAAAGCCCACCTCCATCTTGCCACAAGCTGATAATCACCAGGCCCTGTCAAAACTAACAGGGTGCAATTTGTGGATTCTAACTACAGTGGTGCCCCGCAAGACGAACGCCTCGCAAGACAGAAAACCCGCTAGACGAAAGGCTTTTCCGTTTTGGAGGCGCTTCGCAAAACGAATTTCCCTATGGGCTTCCTTCGCAAGACGAAAGCCCATAGGGAAATCTCCGGGACAGCGGGGAAGCGCAGCGCGTCTTCCCCACTGTCCTCGGACCTCCTCCGAAGGCTGGTGGTGGGGCGGAGAGACCTCCTCCCGCCGCCAGCCTTCGGAAGGCTCCTCTGAAGGCTGGCGGTGGGCGGAGAGACCTTCTCCCCGCGCCAGCCTTCGGATGGTTGTCCTGAAGACTTGCGGTGGGAGAAGGGTTTTCCTTCCCACCGCCAACATTCAGAATGCTGTTCTGAATGTTGGCGGTGGGGAGGAAAAACCCTCCTCCCACCGCAAGCCCCGGGAACAGAGGAGAAGCGCTGCGCGCCTTCCCCTCTGTTCCCGTACCTGTCCTGAAGGCTTGCGGTGGGGAGAAAAGCCCTTCTCCGCACCGCCAGCCTGGCAAGCGGTCTCCATAGGAACGCATTAATTGATTTTCAATGCATTCCTATGGGAAATCGTGCTTCGCAAGACGAAAAACTTGCAAGAAGAAAAAACTTGCGGAACGAATTAATTTTGTCTTGCGAGGCACCACTGTATCTTTACTGGGTCATGATTCTTCTTCTTTTCCAATGGCTGCCAGGAGATGGACAATTACCATGCAGCCATGCAGAGGATGGCGGATGATATCCTGTCCCTGCGCCAGCACGTCACCAACCTGGAGTCTGAGAACAGTGCCCTGCGACGCAACCTCGCCATGCATGAAGATGTGGGCCGCGTTCTGTTTCACGACATAGACCCTGACGTCATGACAAAGGCCGAAATCATTGACAGGATATGTAAGGACATTGCCCACTTCTCTGCCAATCCGTATGACACAGGAGGGGACAGGTGAAGGTTCCCCATGGGGGAAGGATGTAGAGCTTGATGGGTGGCAGCTAGACTGGGTGGCCACTTAGGTGTTGTCCCCAAACCTTAGGCTACTAGCCATGATTGGTACATGCTGCCTCATCTGTTGGAGGCGGTATACCTCTAAGTACCAGGTGGTGGCCATCACAAATGCAGAAAGGGTACCCAGGCAATTGACAGCTTGGCCCATTCTTGTTTACGGCCAAGCTGGAATTTGGTCCTAACATAGTAATAATAATAATAATAATAATAATAATAAATTTTATTTATACCCCGCCCTCCCCAGCCAAGACTGGGCTCAGGGCGGCTAACACCAAGTATAAAAACAATTGATTAAAATACAACTTAAAAACAAGATTAAAGTACAACATTAAAATGCAGCCTCATTTCAGTGGAAACTCAAATCAAAAACTTTTTGGAGATGAAAACGTCAAATCTTCACCAAGGCCAACTATCCAAACTGGTCCTACATGGGCCAGAAAAAAGCCAGGGAAGCCCACAAATAGGAGTACCATCACAGAAGGGGAAAAGGAAAGAGGGGGAAGGGATCAAGTTGATTCCAAGCCAAAGGCCAGGTGGAACAACTCTGTCTTACAGGCCCTGTGGAAAGAAATCAGATCCTGCAGGGCCCTGGTCTCGTGAGGCAGAGCGTTCCACCAGGCCGGAGCCAGAGTTGAAAAGGAGAATCAGTGCTTTGAAACATCCCTAACCCGTGGATTTTAGCACTCGAGCACTCGAGTCCCCCCCCCCCCCCCGAAGCAGAACCCAAGGATAAGAGCACTCTCCCATGAGAAGAGCTCTGCTAGATGAGGTCCATGGCCCATCTAGTCCAGCTTCCTGTTCTCACAGTGGCCAACCAGATGCCTTTGGGAAACCTGCAAGCTTGACCCAAGCAGAAGAGAACGGGATGCTGGACTTGGTGGACCATTGGCCAAATCCAACACTCTCTTCTTATGTTCTCATCTGTGGGATTCTTTCCCTTTCCCTATTGCTCAGAGCTAGAGCACACAATTTGCACAAAGAAAGTCCCAAATTCAACCCCTGCTGTATTAGGGTTTTTTTTTAATTAAAAAAAATGGGAAACACCTCTGGCTGAGACCCTTGAGCAGTGCTGCCAGTCAGAGTGGGCAGTGACAGATGAGATAGTCCAATGGTCTATATAAAGCTGCTTCCCATGTTCATAGCCTCACTCACTGATGTTGAGAACTGGGACACATAAGGCAAGAAGCCTCTCATATCATGGAACCATAGAATTGTAGGGTGGAAGGGACCCAAAGCGTAATCTTGTCCAATCCCCTGCAATACATAAGGCAGAGCATCCACCATGGTGTATGAAAGCCATGGTCCTCCCTGGATGGGGTTATCTCCAGTCTCTGCCATTTGCTTTTTAGTAACCCTCAAGCAGAAACTAAGTGCTGGGGCTCGGGAGATGGCCAGAATGAAGGACCGGGTTCAAAGGCTGCAGAATGAACTGATTCGGGTAAGCGCTTCTGTGTTTGCCATTCCTCACAGCTTTGGAAAGACTCTGCATTGTGGGTAGGAATGGGGCTGTGATTTATTTGGTCCATATTTTAATAGGAACCTACCTGATTCCCGGGACGCGGGTGGCGCTGTGGGTAAAAGCCTCAGCGCCTAGGGCTTGCCGATCGAAAGGTCGGCGGTTCGAATCCCCACGGCGGGGTGCGCTCCCGTTGTTCGGTCCCAGCGCCTGCCAACCTAGCAGTTCGAAAGCACCCCCGGGTGCAAGTAGATAAATAGGGACCGCTTACTGGCGGGAAGGTAAACGGCGTTTCCGTGTGCGGCTCTGGCTCGCCAGAGCAGCGATGTCATGCTGGCCACGTGACCCGGAAGTGTCTCCGGACAGCGCTGGCCCCCGGCCTATAGAGTGAGATGGGCGCACAACCCTAGAGTCTGTCAAGACTGGCCCGTACGGGCAGGGGTACCTTTACCTTTACCTTTTACCTGATTCCCAAACCAGGATTTGAAATGAAACATTGCAAGCCTCTCAAACTCATGCTTCACTGCATTTTGCAATGAAGTTATCCAACCAAAAAATGCATACCCAAAGGAGAAAGTGCACACACGTGCTTCTCTTAGTTAAAAAAAAGAAAAAGGGTGTGTGTGTGTGTGTGTGTGTGTGTGTGAGAGAGAGAGAGAGAGAGAGAGAGAGAGAGAGAGAGAGAGATGGTGATATGTGTGGAGATTTTGTATACAAAAATGCGCTTAATAGTTAAAATGCACATGTGTGCGGTTTTTCATGTTCACTTAAAAAAAAGTCACAAACTGACATAGAAATTGAGAGGAGTGAACTTAAGACTGAGAAAATGAGAAACGGAAAGAAATGGAATTGGATAGATTTGTCCATCAGGGATAATGGGATTTGTAGTCCAGGAACCTCTGGAAGGTTACAGGTTTTCAGCAGAGGATCAGTCGGTCCCCACTAGGTCTGGGTCTGTCCAGAGTCCTCCACAAAGAAGCCTCTACCACTCACTCCTCACCCCCCAAAGAAATCAGGGCTGTGGTTCCATCCCTTCTCAAGCGCCTTGGTCCTTTCCCACCACCAGAAAAATGACCGAGAAAAAGACCTCGTGATGCTGCAGCGAGCTCACCAGCAGCAGCAAATGGTGCTAAGGAAATACCAGGCCAAGATCGCCAAGATGCACGCTCTGGAAGATGCGGTGAAGAAACAGGAAAAGGTGAGGGGAAACGATTGGGAGAAATGTGAAGACATCAGGGTAGGGCATGGGAGCAGAATCTGGGGAGGCTGCTCAGGAGGGACTCCAAGCACAAATGGCAATTCGGGTTTCCTGTGGATTGCTGTTTGCTCTGATTCAGCGGTCAAGAGCAGGCTTCTACGGGGAAATCACCAGGGCAAAAAAGACACAGTCTCAGAGCTTTAAAGCGCAGAACTGGAACTGTGATACAGAAAGATGTGTGGATGAGCCCTGAATAGAGTAAGACACCTTGCCATCTATAGGGCACTCACCCCATAAAAACATTAAGCCCAGAATCTGGTACCACCTCATGAAAGTCACTGTAAGGTAGCTGGTATCATGTGGCAGCTGGCAGAATGGCCTATGAGACTGAGCCTGTTCGGCTTCTGCTTAGATAACTCAACTGGAAGGAGAGACCAACATTTCCCAAGGATGTCTGTCCTTACTGTTCTACCAAATCTTACCCATGAGGCAACCTCTCCCAGTAGCATAGGTGCCAATTCCCTGGGTGCCCAAGCACCCACAAAATTCCCCATGAAGGGGCCAGGCAGCCACAAAATTTGGTGCCAGGGCCATGCACGCTGCATGGCAACCACGGCCCCAGGAATCCATGGTCATGGGGCCAAACTGGCACTTCTGCCCAGTAGTTCACTCAGAGTTGTTTTCCATTTCCATCTTTTGCAATGAAATGTGACTGCTGGTCTACGGCAGTGAGCGGGAGCATTGCACTGGAGACCAGCACATCACAACCGTCTCCCAGAAGCTTAGGGTGGAGTGAAGGGTCCCCTCCTGTAAACTTACCCAGGTGCTTCTTTCCATTGAAAGGTGATTGAGAGGATGGAGATGATGCTGGAAGGGAAGATGAAGGAGCGGTCAAAAGAGGACACCCAGTTTTCAGAAGCTCCCCTCGGCTCAGGTGAGTGTGTCTGCTGGCAATTTGTGCATCTCCAGCATCTGTGCTGCACTTGTTGCCATTCAAAGTTGGTTCCCTGCATTGGCAAGGCTCATTTGACAACGTCAAGAAAGCAAGGCTTTCGTGTCATTGGCTCAGTCCTGGGGAACACTCTGCCACTGGAGATTCGGCAGGCACCTTCTGTGCCATCTTTTAAACACCTGCTGAAAACTTTTCTCTTCCACCAGGCAATTAAGACTACATCCGTCCACAAGGGCTAACTGATGTCTCATTTTATGGTTTTGTTATTGGAAACTGCTTTGATATATTTTTATGATATAGTGTTATACAAATATTTTTGTAAATAATAATAATAATAATAAATTTTATTTATACCCCGCCCTCCCCAGCCAAGATCGGACTCAGGGCTGCTAACAACCAATTAAAAACAAGTTGATTGAAATGCAACTTAAAAAACAAGATTAAAATACAACATTAAAATGTTAAAACATTAAAATGCAGCCTCATCACAGGAGGAGAAAGGAAAAAGAAAGAGAGGGGGGGAATCAAATTGACTCCAAGCCAAAGGCCAGGGGGAACAACTCTGTCTTACAGGCCCTGTGGAAAGAAATCAGATCCTGCAGGGCCCTGGTCTCATGAGGCAGAGCGTTCCACCAGGCCGGGGCCAGTGTTAAGAAGGCCCTGGCTCTGGTTGAGGCTAATCTGACTTCCTTAGGGCCTGGAACCTCTAGGGTGTTGCTATTTATGGACCTTAAGGTCCTCCGTGGGGCATACCAGGAGAGGCGGTCCCGTAGGTAGAAATCAGTTGAGCTTGCACCCCTGAAAACGTAAAGAGGCTTCTCCCTACTCCTTTTTGCAACAGCTTTCTCTTTCCTTGAGTTGAGCATCTTCTGCTGTCTTTACCCCCAGTTCCAGGTGACAGCTGGTCCAAGGGTCTCTACTCCACCTTGATGATGGAGAACATGAGGCTGCGAGACGAACTGGGCAAGTCTTCCTACTATCGTTCCCCCATCATATTGCAGCAGCAAGCACTACCGGTAAGATAGGACCATCCATATTGTGCACTTTCCCTGGACAAAATACCTTGCAGAAATAAAACAGGGCATTTGTCCTGGATTAAATCAGGACAGTTCTCCTGTGCATAATTCTCTGTTGAAATAAATCAGGACAGATGTCCTGTGCATAATACCCTTTTGAATTTACTCACATTTTACCTTACTATACAGTATATGATAGTAGTACTAGCAGCAGCAGCAGCAGTAGTAATAATAATAATAATAATAATAATAATAATAAATTTTATTTATACCCCGCCCTCCCCAGCCAAGGCCGGGCTCAGGGCGGCTAACAACCAATAATACAAACAAGTTGAATGAACACTTAAACAAGGTTAAAATGCAACATTAAAACATTAAAATGCAGCCTCATCACAGGAGGGGAAAGGAAAAAAGAAAGAGGGGGAGGGAATCAAATTGACTCCAAGCCAAAGGCCAGGCGGAACAACTCTGTCTTACAGGCCCTGTGGAAAGAAATCAGATCCTGCAGGGCCTGGTGTCATGAGGCAGAGCATTCCACCAGGCCGGGGCCAGTGTTGAAAAGGCCCTGGCTCTGGTTGAGGCTAATCTGACTTAGGGCCCGGGACCTCTAGGGTGTTGCTATTTGCTTTAAATGCAAACTGAATTTCCTTTCCGATTTTCTCCCTCATCCCTAGTGAATTTCAAGGTAAGGCTGCTTTCTGATCCCCAGAGTAGTGTGGATTAGGTCAGTTATTATCAGAAAGTGTAAAGAACAAATTCCTTGAGCATCCATGGTATTAGCTAATCTTGGACTAAGACAAAAGTGAGGGAGAAGATGACTGCCTTCTTTGCCACTAGCCCATAATTAACCTACTGTGACTGGGTCTCTTCCCTGACACCTGATCCTTTTGATCAGAAATCCCAGGCAGTGGCGTAGCATGGGGTGGCAACCCACGCTACACCACTGCCCAGAGGTTGGACATCAGAATTTCTACATGCAAAGACACCACAAAGCTGCGGTCCTCCTCTAAAGAGATGGGAACATAGCAAGAGGGAGCCTCTGTAGGCTGATCTCCAGGTGAGCAGAGCTAAGTGGAAACAAATAACAGGTGGCAAATAATGCTTCAGTTGGGCAGAAAGTTTTCAAAGGAAGAGAGACTGAGTATGCGGAAAAGTGGATGTTTCAGGCAGTCTGATTCCATGGGTCTTTGCAACAAGTTAAGTACTTAACCCGAGGTACCACTGTATTACCTTTCTCGTGTGGCTTCCTTTCTTCTCGTGTTATAGAACTTTCTCTCCCCACCCTACAGGATACGTTTTCCAACAGCAACGAAAAGCTCTCTTTGATTTCCAAACTGGAGAGGGCAGAGGCTCGCATCAATGCCTTGGAGTACCAGGTAAGGGGCCTCTTTTTAACCTTCGCATCCGTTGGCATGAATTCCAGCTCTACGCTATCCTTTTTGAGACAAGGCAACCAGAACAGTGCACAAGTTTGTCACAGGGATTGTCTGTCCTCTCTGCCACAGCTGGAGGAGTCTTCCAGGAAATGGGGGCGAGAGAAGCAGGACTACAGCGCCCGACTTCTGGAGCGCGATCTTGGATTGGACCTGTCACCAACCCCTCTACTCTTAGGGGACACGTTGCTGGTGAGTAACTAGCATAACTGTGGGCAGGAAGAGAGTTTCCCGGGGCAAGTTATGATGGCTTTCTGGGTGGGCCTTAGGGAGACATCTATGTCTAACCGTTTTCACAAAGGATGGGGCAGTTCATTCCATTCCTTCCTGATCTAATTGCAATAGGTATTGATGGTTCTGTCTACACAGAGTGTAGGGCTTGCCGATCAGAAGGTCGGCGGTTCGAATCCCCGCGACGGGGTGAGCTCCCATTGCTCAGTCCCTGCTCCTGCCAACCTAGCAGTTCAAAGTGCAAGTAGATAAATAGGTACCGCTCCGGCGGGAAGGTAAACGGCGTTTCCGTGCGCTGCTCTGGTTCTCCAGAAGCGGCTTAGTCATGCTGGCCACATGACCCGGAAGCTGTACGCCAGCTCCCTCAGCCAATAAAGCGAGATGAGCGCCGCAACCCCTGAGTCGGCCACGACTGGACCTAATGGTCAGGGGTCCCTTTACCTTTATTGGTTGACATCCAGACCATCACAACTTGGGGTGGAAGCATCTGTCAATTTCTATCCCTTAGTTTCTCATTTTTTCACCCTTAAATTTGGGTCTCCACATTTCTGCATTAATTTGCAAAATAAATAAACAAATAAATCCGCATGAAAATGCATCAGCAATTTTAGTGCCAATTTTTCCTAACAAACACATCTTTGTACGCAGTTTTGATTGACATATTTTTTGCAAGCAATTGCTTCTGATATAATGCATTTTTGTATGTTGTTTTCACCAATATTTTCATATTTATAGGGACTTCCCCCTAATAGATGCATTTTTGTAAAAAACTGTTCAGTTGGGGAAGTGCATTGAAAAATTGGAATAAGTGTGAATTTCAAAGCTGCTTCTGTGTCTTGGTTCTCAACTTATTTTGGAAAGAGAGAATTTTATAGATACAGTTTGATATGCCAACTGAATTGATTTTCTCCCTGATCCCTCGTCATAACTATCTAGCACACAAAGAATTCCACTGGAAACAGAAATAGGGGCAGAAATTCCTGTAATCTGCTTGTTCACCTGAGGTCAGGAAAGTATATAATCTGCATTTGCAATCTTTTTTCAGTCCACAAACATTAGATACCTAATTACATTATTTCCTGCATTGTTTTTGACGTTATCCTTCCACTGAAATTAATTACATAAGCTTCAGCCATAGTGGATAGTAAGATGAAAAGCATTAAGTTTTAGCAGAAGCTGAACTGCAGCAGAATGGAAACCACGCTGATTGCAACAAAACCAGGATGGGACAGAAATTGCTGCCTCCTTGCATCCCTACATCTGGCCAATAAGAGCCACAAGGGAAGCTCCGGTGTCTTCTGGACCTTGAGAACTGCATCCCTTCAAAAGGGAAAGTAGAGGGAGTTAGGGTTTCATCTGTGCACAACCACCCCCACCCCCAAAGTTCAGCCTAGACTTAGCTTGGAAAGTTCTAATATGCCTCTAGCTCATCAGAGTGCTCCCTTACCCACTCACAGGATGAGAAGGAAGGGAGAGGAGATGAAGAGCAGAAGAACGCAAAGATATATGGAGTGAAGGCGAGTGCCCCAAAGTAGCCCAGTGAAGGGTCGATTCCATTATAGGTCAGTGCAAGGGCTGCCTCTTGTTTGGCTGGTGTCTTGACCCAGTGGCTCAAGGACAGAGAGAACTCCCATCATCATCCCTGACCATTGGACAAGATTGTCAAGGCTGATGGGGGTCCAGTCCAGCAACACACTCAGTCTCATGTTGCACCAAGAGTGACGTAGGGTTTCTCCAGGAATCTGACAACCAGAGATGAAGTTTTTGGTTTTGGAAACTCAGGTGCCAAAATCCCCTACAAATGTGGGGTTCTGCCTCATGCAAAACCAATCCACAGAGTCCCTAGTTTTCGTTAATTGGGGACAGGTGTTACAGAGAGCCAGTGTGGTGTAGTGGTTAAGAGCGGTGGACTCGTAATCTGGTGAACCGGGTTCGCGTCTCCGCTCCTCCACATGCAGGTGCTGGGTGACCTTGGGCCAGTCACACTTCTCTGAAGTCTCTCAGCCTCACTCATCTCACAGAGTGTTTGTTGTGGGGAGGAAGGGAAAGGAGAATGTTAGCCGCTTTGAGACTTCTTCGGGTAGTGATAAAGCGGGATATCAAATCCAAACAGAGAGCAGCCTGAGAACCCATTCCACATGCCTGGCCCAAAGGATCAGCATGGCCTAATCCCACCTAACCTATCAGTGCTGAGGGATGCTCCTTTGTGAGAGGCTTCTCTGCAGGATGAGTCAGGCAGTGAGCTCCCACCCAGAGCCATCTTTCCCATTGGGTTTACTGGCATGTTGCGCCAGGGTGCTGGCCTTTCAGGGGCCCCCAGCGAGTGGGAAAGCTGCACAGCTTTGCCAGCATCCTCCCCTTTCCCTCCTGCACACCCACCAGCTGCGCCCGTCAACCATATGGCTGGTGGGCATGCCTCCCAAGCCTCCGCGGGAGGAGAGCGATGCCCATAGAGGCTTAGAATGGAAGCTGTGCCCCACCAACTATATGGCTGTCAGATGTGCAGATTCCTTCCCAAGCCCCCGCAGGAGGAGAACAATCCCTGCAGTAGCTTAGGAAAAGGTTGAGAACTGGGAAATGGGGAGTGGGGCGCCAGAGGGATCTTTGCACCACGGCGCCGGATATGCTTAAGACGGCCCTGCTCCCACCTTCTCCCCGAAGACTCAGCTAGTAGTCAGGGTAGGCCTCAGCCTTTTCACAGTGTCCTCCTCCCCCCGCCCACAATGCCAGCCTCTCCTTCCTGCCCACCCACCCCCAACAGCCACGGGTCCCCTGGGTCATTCAACCTTACCTGCAGCAATTTGTGACTTTCTGTACCAACACACCTGATACTTGGTCTTTCTAAACAGGCTCCCTGGCAGATTGGGGGCATGTCTAGAGGTCATTCTGCCCAGACGGGGGATGTGCAAGGAAACCTCTACATCATTGCCTCCCCTCCCCGAAAAGTTGAGTGAAATTTTGCAGAGTTTTTGCACCGTGTTACAGGGGTGCACCCCTTGCGGCAACCACATTGTGCAGGCCCTCAGGATGCTAGACAGAGTGGGTAGGAGATCTGGCGACTGGGTCATGGAGATTCTAGACACCTTCCTGACACCTGCTCTTTCCCTCTTCTCAGAAGACTCATCCAAATTAGCAAATTCAGCTCAAGATGCATTGGGAGCCTTCGTCCTTTGTGCAACCTATGGCGATCTACGCTCGATGGCACGGCAGATCATCTGTTGTAAATATACCCCTCAAGTTTCATACCCCTTCCTCAAGAGACTAAATGGAGCATGGCATTCCCTAATAAACTTTTATTAAAGTTTTGGCATGCATTCCCCCCCAAATGGATACTTTCAAGATCAATGGACTCCCACCAGATGGTGAAGATTTGCTTGGGAAGAAGAAAATTACTTGAAATGCAGGTGGAGGGAGGGCAGAGGGTGGGGTGGAGGTGCAGTGCTTGCTTACTAGGAGGGAGAGAGGAGGTTGGTGCACTGCAAAGATGCTCTGGTGGAAGCCAACCCTTTGCTCCTGCTGGGACCATTTGCCGTGCGCAAGAGCTACCCAGTCTCCCTCCCTGTAAGTGTCATAAACTGGCTGAGTCAGCATGATGCAGAGGAAGGATTGACCAATGACCGGGGGGGGCGGGGGGGATTGGCTCTGACAAGAGTTGGTGGATCTGCCAGAGAGGATCCTGGGGGTGGGGGCTTCCTCAACCTGCCCTCTCATCTCCGTCCCCTGTGAGTTCTGCCACATTCTTTGTTCCCTGCAAGAAGGTGGGGGGCTTGTTGAAGGACGCTGAAGGTGGGGTGTACTATCCCATTCATCATATAAAAAAGGATGTTGGCTAACAGAACAAAGTCTGGCTGCTACATCCCCAGACAATGCCTGCCTGAATAATGGGCGCTCTTAATGGAAACAAGTGAGTTTCCCCAAACTCAGATCAGATTGCCTTGGCTTGGCTTATTCTGTTTCCCGGACAAATTTGGGGCTAGTTTGGGCTGAGTTCTAAGGCAGTCAAGACTGAATTCCAAACCAGAGGTCCCTAGGAAGTGAACATTTCATCCACTGAAATTGATTGGCGGGGGATTAAAGACAGGGGAAAGAACAAATTTCTCCACACAACATGCAGTTGATTTGTGACATTTGCCACCAGTGCCTTTAATAGAGAATTCAACAAATTTCTTGGAGTGGAGTCATTCAACAGCTGCTGGCTCAGTAGAAGACCCATCTTCAGAGGCAGTCGTGCCCCATTGTTGCTGGACGAGGGGGCAGCAGCTTAGGAGACCTAATGCCTTTAAGGCCTGTTTGTGGAGCCTCCCCACAGCACTGTAAGAAGCTGGGTGCTGAACCGCTGAGCTGCCTGATCTAGCAGAGTTTGTCTAACATTCTTAAGCCTTCTAGACCTGCATCTGGCTTGGCCCTAAGACTATGGGAAGACCTGTGCAGCAAGCATGCTTTTCCCCTCCAGTGTCTAAATCGGGGTGGAGAACCTTTCTCAGCTCTGGGGCCACGTTCCAGTGGTGGGCAGAGCCACCAGCCCTGGTCTAAATTGTACTGCATGGGAGTCAAGGAGTCCCACCCCAAATTATTTATCTCAATGCTAGTGTCTCCCTTTTTTGCATTTAGGAAAAGCGGCCACTGGACACCCAGGGATCTTTATGCACAGATATGAATGGACCGGTCAAGTAGCTCCCCATTCCCCTTGAAGGAGGCTCCATGTGTCTTGCCTTGCCCCGCCCCAGAGGCTAATGGAAACTCCTTCTCCTTTCACAGCTGGGAGTCCAGAGGCCCTAGGGTCAAGTGGATGGGCTTGTCTGGAACCAAGATGAGTTTGAAAGTGGTGTTGATGTCCACTCCCCTCCTGGTCTCAATCTTGAAGCTCTCCAACATCTAGAGAGATGGAAGGAAAAGGGGTCAAGCATTTAGTACCAGGGTGTGATGCAAGAGAACAAGTAGGCTTGTGAGGGCATAGCCAGGAGTCCCAAGACTCAGATTTGGAGGTCCATACCCAGGGCAGCAAGTTTTAAATCTCAGAGACTAATACTGTATATATATAGCTCCTTTTTCTATCACTGAAAAGGAAAATACAGATTGTGTCTCCGTATTACTGACAGTAGACCTGAGTCCATGCAATTAGCATAGGGCTGTACATGATTGGTTTCAACTTCTGAACAACTTCTGGATACAGCAGTATGCTCTTGTTGTTTTGTATCAAGATGCCACCTGCCACACCTTTCAGTGGAAAGGTGGGATACAAATTTAAGCTAATAAAAAAAAAAGAATTGGGTGTCATGAGCCTTTTTCAATGGCTCCTTTTTCCATTGCTTTGGTACACAGAACTGGACATGGGACTCCAGTTGGTGTCTGACCAAAGCAAAGCAGAGCAGTACCATGACTTCCCTTGATCTGGACAAAAGTCTTCTGTGGATGCAGCCTAGAATTGCATTAGCTGTTTTAGCAGCTGCATCACACGGTTGACTCTAATTATTATTATTATTATTATTATTATTATTATTATTTATATCCCGCCCTCCCCAGCCGAAGCCGGGCTCAGAGTGGCTAACAATAATAAAAGTAAAAGTAACACAGCATTCTAAAATCAATTCATTCTAAAATCAATTCAGAATCAAATTGATGGCAACCATTGGGCTAGAGTTCTGTGAGGATTACCAAAGGAGGGGGTCAGGCTGTGCCTTGGCCAAACGCCTGGTGGAACAGCTCTGAGTTGAAGGCCCTGAGGAAAGATGTCAAGTCCCGCAGGGCCCTAGTCTCTTGTGACAGAGCATTCCACCAGATCGGGGCCACGGCCGAAAAAGCCCTGGCTCTGGTTGAGGCCAGCCTAACCTCCCTGCATGTTGAGAATGCAGTCTCCTAAGACCCCTGGATCCTTCTCACGTGTCTTGCTACCAAGCCAGGCATCCCCCATCCTATATTGGTGCCCCGGTTATTCATGTCACGGGGGGGGGGGGCAGCACCAGACTCACATGGATCAAGAAGAGCTGCATCTCTAGCTCAGCAATCCGGCGCCCAAGGCACTGGCGTGGACCAAAGCCAAAGCCCAGCCCCCGGAAGTACGTGGAGTCCGCCTGCAGCCACCTGTGTGGGTTGAACTGCTCGGGCTTGGTGAAAAACCTGGGATCCCGGCCCATCGCATAAAGTCCCACCTGGACCAATGTCTGTGCAGAGGAGGAAAAGAGTTAGTGAACATATACCTAGGTTTTCAGATTTTTCATGTATGTGGCCCAATGGCGGGTCTAGGAGAGCGCAACCGGCTCAGTAACACCAGGCATGGAGCTTTTGGGACACCCCAGCAGGCGCCACAACTATGGCGTCCCAGATATGAGCACCAGATTTTGCAGTTGCACAGGATGCCACTGAAATTTGAGACGCCAAGGTCCCCCATTGATGTGACCCTCCTCCAAATTCCCCTTTGGTGGATAGATTAGGCTAGGCTAGGCTCGCTTTATTAAATATATGTTCTGCTTGCCACTAAAGTCCCTAAGCGAGTCACAACCAAGTAGTAATAATAATGAAAATGCAGCCATCAAGTCACACTAAGATATTTAAAATGGGTTTAATGGTACAGTCATACCAATGATGCCGCCCTAAGGCCCAGGAAAGCAAAGAAAATCTTTGCTGATCGCTGAATTGCATCATGGCATCACAACGGTAATGGTAGATCAAAGAATGGAGCCTTTCCATCCTGGTTACTCACCTTGGCAGGAATACAGTAATTCTGAAGAATGATGTCTTGCGCCACGTATCTCTGTAATGTCACTGCGACCGGGTGGAGCCTTCCAGGAAAGAGCGGGGGGAGACATTTCATCACTCAGCCCTAATCCACTCTGGAGAGCTTAACCCAGAGGTAAGGTAAGTAAAGGGACCCCTGACGCATTAGGTTCCAGTCGTGGCCCGACTCTGGGTTGACGGTGCTCATCTCGCTTTATTGGGCTGAGGGAGCGGCGTACAGCTTCTGAGTCATGTGGCCAGCATGACTAAGCCACTTCTGGCGAACGAGAAGCAGCGCACGGAACACCGTTTACTTTTCTGCCTATTGTATCTACAGTAGTGCTCGCAAGACGAATTAATTCGTTCTGCGAGTTTTTTCGGTCTTGCGAAGCACGGTTTCGGAAAAGTTTTGAAAAGCTTCAAAAATTCACGCAAAGTCTTCAGAAACCTACAAAAAGCTACCTTCCTGGGCGCTTTGACGTGCTTTCGAACTGCTAGGTTGGCAGGAGCAGGGACCGAGCAACGGGAGCTCACCCCGTGATGGGGAATCAAACCATCGACCTTCTGATCGGCAAGTCCTAGGCTCTAGTGGTTTAACCCACAGCGCCACCCTCGTCCCTTAAAACCCCAGAGGTAGAATTGCAGAACTGGAAGGGACCCAATCCTGCCAACCCAATTTGTTCTTGCTGACTTCCTACCACCACCCTCTCTCCCCCCTCCTTGCCACCTGCCCAAATTTAGACTGCAGGCGGCCTTTGGAGCCTGGGTGCTTGCCCCCCTATGTGGCAATCCTTCCACCCTAGACAGGGACCGCCCTGTTGCCCTACCTCAGTGTCTCCTTGATAGCAGCTTTGAGCAGCGGCACAGATTTCAGCATCTTCAGGACATCCCCCTGGGAAGACGACCTGGCAGCAAGGATCTCCGACCGCAGCTGCTCCTGCAGGCCAGGAGCCCGGGCCAATTCATACATTGCCCACTGGAGGGTCATTGAAGTCTGGAAGTGTACCAGGAATCAATGGGGAGAGAAGGAAGGAGATACTGGGCTGGCTTCTGTCCCAAATATTTGTACACACTGGATCAATGCCTTCTTCAAACGTATTAGCTTGTTTCATAAAATTTATACACTGCTTGGTTGTAAGATAAACCTCTCAAAGCAGTTTCCAGCAATAAAGCATAAAATTATCAGTAAAAACAATTATTTTAAACAGTCAAAAAAATCAGCAATAGACTAAAAACAGATTAACGTTCACATCAACTTTTTAAACCAGGGGTCAGCAACTTTTTTCAGCCGTGGGCCGGTCCACCGTCCCTCAGAGCATGTGGGGGGCCAGACTATTTTTTTTGGGGGGGGGGAAATGAATGAATTCCTATGCCCCACAAATAACCCAGAGATGCATTTTAAGTAAAAGGACACATTCTACTCATGTAAAAACACGCTGATTCCTGGACTGTCTGCAGGCCGGATTGAGAAGGCGATTGGGCCGCATCTGGCCCATGGGCCTTAGGTTGCCTACCCCTGTTCTAAACATCTGGTGGACTTGTCTGAACAAGAATGTTTCCAGCAGTCGCTGAATAGAGTACAGCGAAGGTGCCTGCCTGATTTCAATAGGCA